AAGAAAGAAAGAAAGAAAGAAAGAAAGAAAGAAAGAAAGAAAGAAAGAAAAAGGAAGGAAGGAAGGAAGGAAGGAAGGGAAGGGAACAAACTATCTCTATTCACAGATGACATGATCTTGTATATAGGAAAAAACCCTAAAGAATCCACTAAAACACTTAGAACTAATGAATGATCTCAGCAATGTTGCAGGATATAAGGTCAGTATACAAAAATCAGTTGTTATTCTAAACACTTGTAATGAACAATCACAACTAAAATGAAAACAATTCTATTTAAAATGTCACCAAAAAAATAAAATACTTAAAATTTAACAAAAAATATGCAAAACTTATGCTCAGAAAATTCTAAGCTTTCAGTAATCTCTTTGACATCAGCTGTAGCAACAATTTTCTAGATAGGTCTCCTTAGGCAAGGTAAATAAAAGTAAAAATAAACTATTGGGACTATATCAAAATATAAAGTTTCTGTACAGCAAAGGAAATAATCAACAAAACTAAAAGGCAACCTATTGAATGGGAGAAGTTATTTGCAAATGACATATCTGATAAAGGGTTAGTATCCAAAATCTATAAAGAACTGATACAACTGATTACCCACCCCCCAAAACACAAATAACCCAATTAAAAATTAAAAAAAAATCCAATTAAAAAATCCATAAAAATCCAGACATTTCTCCAAAGAAAACATCCAGATGGCCTGTTCAAAAGACACATGAAAAGATGCCCAACATCATTCATTCATTAATATCTGGGAAATGCAAATCAAAACTACAATGAGACATCATCTCACACCTGTCAGAATGGCTAAAATCAAACAAAGAAGAAACAACCAGTGTTGGCAAGGATGTGGAGAAAAAGTAACCCTTACACACTATTGGTGGAGATGCAAACCAGTGCAACCACTGTAAAAAACAGTATGGAAATTCCTCAGAAAGTTAAAAATAGGACTACCCTATGACCTAGTAATTGCACTACTGGGTATTTACCCCCCCCAAAATACAAAAACACTAATCTGAAGGGATACATACACCCCTACATTTATTGCGGCATCATTTACAATAGCCAAACTATGGAAGCAGCCCATGTGTCATGGATAAATGAGTGAATAAAGTAAGATGTATACATACATGGAATATTATGAGCCATCAAAAAGAATGAAATCTTGCCATTTGCAGCAACACGGACAAGGAAGAGAATGTAATTGCTAAGCAAAATAAGTCAGAGAAAGACAAATACCATATGATCTCACCCACATGTGGAATTTACAAAAACAAATGAGCAAAGAAAAAAGAGAGAGAGACAAACCAAGAAAAAGACTCCTAACTATAGGGAACAAACTGATGGTTACCAGAGGATGGTTGGGGGGAGGGGAGCGGGAAGGAGATGTAATAGGTGAAATAGGTGATGGGGATTAAAGAGTACACTTATCATGATGAATAAACAAACAAACCCAAAACTACAACGGTAAACCATTTCATACTAAGATGCCTATAATAAAAAAGTCAGGTATTAATGAGTATTGGCAAACAAGTGAAGTTGGAACTCTTATACGCTGCTACTGGTAAATATGTAGAATGGTGCAACCACTATGGATAACAGTCTGGCAGTTCCTCAAATGGTTAAAAACAGTTACATGTCCCAATAATTCTATACTTAAAATGTATACCCAGAAGAAAAACTTATACATACATGTTTATAGCAGTATAATTCATAATAGCCCAAAAGTAGAAACAATCCAAATGTCCATCATGCAATGGATGGATAAACAATATTTAGTAAATCCATATAATAAATATTATTTGGCCTTACAAAGGGATGGAGTACTAATATATGGAACGACATTAATGAACTTTGAAAATATCTAGCGCAAGAAGTTAGTAATAAAAGGCCATAATACTACATGATTTCACTTATATGAAATGTCCAGAATAGATAGGTAAATCTACAGAGACAAAAAGTAAATCAGTGGTTGTCTAGGGGTGGAGGAGGAACGGGGAGAGCCTGCACCATTTCTGAACATATTAAATATGACTGAATTGTATACTTAAATTGGGTGAATGGTATGGTATGTAAATTATATCTCAAAAATGTTTTTATTTTATTATTTTTTTTTTAAATTTTTTTTTCAACGTTTAT